CAAAAAATCTTCAGAAGCACAATCTTTTTTTATACGATCTTACCGCCGTTCAAAAAGATTCCCTTCCCGATTTCTATGTAAAACTTTACAAAAGATGCTGGACGAGCCTGCTCAAACGTAGATTTCGATCGAATCGAAAGAATGTAGAACGCGTGACGCGGTGTCTTCAGCAAAAAAATTCGACTTAACGGTTAAGTCATGCGCGATTAACGCTAAATGTCAGCGATCTCATCCTCCTCGTCCTCGACTTTCCTCTAGCGAGTACATGTAGAATGCTAATGTAATCGGACGAGACGACGTGTGGCGAAGGGTCCGCGTGCTGGCAGTGTCGTTTTGTCGTAGCATGAACGAATCGTTTCTTTCTTTTTTTCTCTCGCTTTTTTTCTTTTTCCCACATATAACGCCCCCGGTTGTACGCATTTTAGCCTGCCTGCTAATATCCGGCGAGGTCGGCGAACGTCTGATCCATCTCGTCGGCGATCGCTTTGTATTTACAGCGCTCATTTACCAGTACGTCTGCAACGAGAAGGGAGGGAATGTGGTATTAGTGGACGGTATGATGGTTAATCGGGTGTACATTTTAATATTATTTTTAATTGGAAAGAGAAAGAGAGAGAGAGAGAGAGAACATAACAAGCACATAATCTTCATGGTTAATACTTTGGGTTTAGATGATCATTATATCTGTGAAGCAGCTTAAAGTGAGAATAGGATGAAGGAAAATTAGCTGGATTGATCCTATTATCTAAAACCTGAGAAATTCACTTCAGAAGATAAAATAGATTAGTCTGTATATAAATAAGATCAAAATCTATATACCCGATAAATATTTATGGAAATATATTTTATAAAAATAAATATCTCGTAGGTGACTTTAACCTAATTAAGGAACAGGGATATGTTTCAAGTGTGAAAGAAAAAAGCACATTAGATTCTATGTGATGTTTTATTTGTTCTAATTTCTGAGAGAGAAGTATTAGAAACAAAAGTGGCCTTGTACAATTTTTCGACAATTTTAAATCGCAAACTATTATAAAAAGATCATCAAGATACTTTCACATTTCAATAATATTTTAGTAATAATACAATACATCGAGTATTTACTTTTCTTTCTGCTCTACTTACCGCATGCTCAATTACCGAAGCATAATATTATTAGAACTGCGCTTGTAATTTTGATCTAAGCGGCATTTTCGAAATAAATAATTAAATAAATAATCGCGGCTCACACAGAGCGGCTGTAAATACCGACGAAAGCTGGAGAAGTGGAATCGTTGATAAAATAAAAAAAAAAAAAAAAAATTCTGAACGCGGAACGTATTTATAATACATTGATTTTTATTACGTTAACGAAAGTACATGTGTCGAATGGCCGTGACCCGACTGCGATCGAACTATGCGTATAATGTTTATAATTACGGCCAAACAATTCGATAGCGGACGCGGATATTTGACAGCCAGATTTAACCAACCAATTCGGTGAAAGTGAGGTCCAGATCGTCGCAGATGTATTTGTACTTCTCCTTCTCGTGGACGAGCTCGTCTGCAAGAAAACGTAGTGTCTTTAGAACGTATTCACACAGTTACTGTATATTCAATTGTACTTTGATACATTCAGTATGAATTAGGGGCATTGATAATTTGCGTGAACTTTGATACGAGATAAAACTGAAAAGATGTAAGTATCACATGAACCTTCGATCCTTTACTAATATAATAGTGTACATGGAATATTTAGTTTTAAGCGATGTGAAAGAAGGTATATAGAAATATTTCATATTTTAGAAAGATGAGGGATTCTTTCAGAAGGCGCTCGGTCGGGAAGCTGTGATTTTAGCAACGAGCGGGTTAAAAAGCATAGACGGGTAACTTACGAAAGATGTGTTAAGCGCAAGCTAGATTTGTAAGAAAAGCTTTCGGTATCTTTTTTTGTTTCTTTTTTTTTTGTATCGAAGCGTTAGGAGGATGGTTAGTAGCCACGTTACACGCCATAGAGCTCGAAGAACGCATTATCCAAGCCATCCCCGACTTCCTTGAATTTCTCCTTTTCGATCACCATCTCATCTGCAAGCATTCGCAACGTTATAGGTGGTCGCTATTTAGTTAGAGATTTCGTCTACTGCGTAGCGTGAAAAATGTTTGGAGAAAAAAGTGCTGAAGAGATGAAAGTATTGTTAAAATTAATACCGCGCTAGAGATAGTGAATTAATCAAGCAGGATAATGGTGAAAATAATTTATTTTAAATTTATTAAATAACTTAAGCATTTAAAAATAAACGTGAATCTTCTTAACAGGTATAGCTAAAAATAAGATTCATCAACTGTTTCTACGATCCTGGTGTTCGTTAAATTTCTTTTATCAAATATAACAGTTTTTTTTAGATATAATTGAAATTTGTATCTTAATATCTATGCTATTCTTAATTCTATAGTAATAGTTTTTTCATACATTTTCCTAACGAAACATATATTAATAATTAGATACATTAATCATGAAAATAGTTCATTTTTTTACGATGTAAAATCATTAATATAATCAACGATGATGCTATATATATATATATATTTAGAAAAAATTTTATCAGTAAATTATTCAAATAATTGAAAAGATATATCTATAAAATAATATTTATTTTATGATAGAAGACAATCGTGAAGTTTGATGTTATAAGTAGGGAAATTTGTCATGCATTAATATAGCAAAATCGAATTAAGCAAATTTACTCACCGTAAATAAGATATACGTACCATTTTCTTCTTTCATCATGCAATTTTGTTACGAGATTGTCTAACAACAAAGCGACCACACAGCGTTATCGCGTGGAGAAGTAGTACGTCATTATGTTAACGGTGGAGGATTAATGTTAGCGCAGGTAAAAAAAAAAGAACGACACAACGAAAAACAAACGACACAATATTTTTTTCAAAATTAAAATATATATTATAAACAGTTTTATAATAATAGCAATATATAATAATCAATTATTATTACAATGATATTAGTGTTATTATCGTTTCATTTACTTTATATTAATATTAAGTAAATTAATAAACTAAAATTCTCTTAAACTCAAGTATCTGCGTTTCCGTAATTTTAGCATTATTCAGAAAGGAAAAAATTGTGGCTAACAAAAATCAACGATAGAACATGTAGGTCTCATAGTTGTGCTTTTCGCATTATTGCTGGTTTTTAATAACGTTTGCTCGTGGCGACGTTAACTTGGAGAACAAACGATCGCGATGTTTCTGAATGGCCTTTCGATATCACATAAGCTACTGTATTTTGGATTAGTTCATCGTCATCTTCGTATATATAAATAGAGATATACTTACGAGATGTACAATTCAAAATAGTCCAAATTTCTGAAGAAATATTATTAGATTGATCTAATTAATCATACGTGATATTTAGAAGTCACGTAATAATTAATACGCTTATATTAATACTACATCAACAAAATATCGATTTATACAATACAAATCAAGATAAATTATTAAATTTAAGGTACCTTCCATGTATGAAAGATAAAATATTTCTATTGTTTTCAGAGTTTCAATTCTGAAACGCACATTCGATTTATTCTACTATCTTCATGATCGCTCAATGATCATGCGGGTGACGATAATATACATGCATTTATATATTAAAACAGGAAGAGGACGATGCACATTTCCACATCAAAAGGCCATCCAAGAATATATTGCAGGAAAAGTGCTACAAGAATAACCGTGACGGGTTACGGCATCGAGGTCGAGGCAGTACACGCGACATAAATTACGCTTTTCAGTAGAAAAGAAAAAAAGAGGAAATTTCTCTATAGGATTAGCGATGCTCGATGGTGAGCGTAAAGTAGCAATAACATTAACGACAAACTGTATCAATTAATAGTAATAGTAATAATAATAATAATAATTCGAGGCGAACCATGCGCCGCGAAGTGGAATATCGGATATGCATTATTTCGACGATCGATTATTATTTCCAATCTCTCATTTGCTGTTACGTTCGAAACGAAGCACGTTCCCTGCATTGAGGTTTGACGTTGGCCGTGGTTAGTATTTATATCGTAAATATATACAGGCACGATCGGTAAAAAAATATCGAAATGACTCAGCTAGCACGGGAAGCTGCGCTGCGACGTGACAAAATAGCCAGTTGCTTCCCTGTTTGTTATCTTAAGTATTATGCGTTGATCAATTTTTCATAGGCTCGAAGTTAAACAAACCATTCTGCATACGTACAACACATATATCTGCATAGGCCAGATAATTTTCGATTATTTTATTACGAAGAAAGAAAAGAATTTGAATTATGGCAATACTACGTTGGTAATACAATTGTAACTGTTTGACTGAATATTGCACAACGAAGACAAAAACGTACTAAGAAAAAATATTTTTAGAAAAATTAATAGGAAGGTTTGGCAGTGGAATCCTCTTAAATGCATGGTTATTGCATCATTGTCGTCTTTGCTTTCATCGGCGGCAATGAGAAGGTGGCGCGACAATAATCTCACTGTAAAGCTAACAGAAGAAACTGACGAATTTCTTCTCGCGCGAGCTGAGCCGCGTGAAATGCGGAATGTAAAATGATGCAAAGTAAATGAACACTCGTGTTTCCCTCCATTATATACAATCCTGCTACGCGTATTTTGTATCGAGAGAAACACGCGCTAAATTCGATGAAATGATGGACTGGTCGAATCAATTAAAAGATAAAATTTTTGTAAGTCATTTCTAAAAGATATTCAACAACGTTTTGTTATTTAATAATTGTTACTCAACAATCATTTATCTTTAATGGGGAGAACCTGTCTTCAGGTATCAGACGAGTCGAGCGCTGTTTACTATATAATTATATATGTATATCAAGTATATATACAATATTATAATTATATAATAGATTGTATTTAAAATCTTTAACGCATAAAACTAATACGCTCGAAAAAATTAGTTTCAAATTTCTCATCAAACTTCTCTCGATACAAATAAATCCTATCCGTCTTGTCTTCATTTCTCATATTTTTCGTCTTTCTAATACCTATTCACGTATTCCTCCCACGGCCAGTAATCGTTTTCATAACGAATTTAAATCGCAGCGTGTTCGAAGACGTCTCAAACTGGTCGCAGTCATGCCCTCATTTTTTTTAAATTAAAATTTAAAGATAGACTAAGCTAAAATCTAAAGCTAAAAAAATTAGATTTCAATTACAAGTAACTTCATATTATGTATGGAACTATCCTCTCGTCTGTCTTTGTCGCGTATTATTTATTCTTCCTCGTTCTTTCTATCTTTTACATTCTCTCTCTATCATATTGATCCTTTCATTCTGTATCTTCCTTACTCTTCCTCTCATACATATACACATGCACACATTTTCTATTCTCTTCCTCTCAACCTACATCAGTAACTTACGTCACACGCATACAAATAGACACGCAACACGCACACGATACACACGCTCGAACGCATACAAGCATGTATAGTACGTATACGCACTGCGGATGGACGTAATGGAGGGTATAAAGCTAGCCTAAAGACTGCATTTTTATTCGTTAATGTTAGGTAAGATGTGCACCATATACGAAGCTCTCGCTACGTAACAGCGTATTTGTTTCTCGTTCACTTCTCGTTGCCGCCGTTTTGTTACCTGCTTGCATTTATTTTCTTTCGATTTCTTTTTTCTCAATCTCTCTCTCTCTCTCTCTCTTTCTTTTTCTCTCTCGGATGTTCTCTCGCTTTCTAAACGTTTCCGCGTTTATGCATTTTCGTCCACTGCGAAAAATACAATCTACATGTTCTGGATGTCATGCAGGGTGGCCTCCATTTCCTCCTGTAGCAATTTGTTTTTCTCTCTCTCGGCCGCAAGGTCGTCTGTAAAGATCACTGGTTAAAGGGAAGTAACACACACGGCAAGCCACACGCGAGCGTAACATACTGCGTTTCGGCGGTTAGAAGGGTAAATACGCAAATAAAATACGGCGCACACACGTACATACACACATAGAAAAGTAGGGTTTGCTTTACGATTGTCGAATCGTTACATTCCTTGTATAATTAGGAAAACTGATTATAAATTCAAAATTTGATTTAACCGTTTCGATTCAAATTTTCTGGACAGAAACATTCTTACCAATTTCTCTAGTCTCTTTAAAAACAGATTAAATTTACAAATTCATAATAATTAATTTCTGCGGTATTATTTTGTTTCGCCTGATATCGATTCAAACACTTCAAACTCTACAAATGCAGAGCTTTGATTCTTTAAGATTCTTAGCTATTTGAATAGAAAATGATTTCTAGTTATTCTAATATCAGCGTCTATATAAAAACTGTTTCCTGAATTATTTCTCTCTCTTCCCGTTTAAGAAATTCAATTCATATTATAACATTATATATCTCAAATATAAAAGATATCTATTTATATACCTAGCACATGTCAACGTATTTATATATTTTAAAAATCTAGTTGAATTCAGATAAATATATTATTTTGAAGAGAATAAAAATAATTAATGTATTCTTTTTTTGTCATATACGCACCTTCGAGCCTGTCAACTTCCTTCTGGAGTTTCTGCACGGATCTCTCTGCAAACTCAGCGCGTGCCTCAGCCTACGCAAACGCAATACTTCATCAGTCAAAAAATTATATTTTGAATGAAATTATCCATCGATTTCAAAAAGAGAAAGGCAGAAAAAGAAATTATTTATTTCAATTATATATATTGCATGAAATTGAAATATAATTATTCAATAAGATTTATAACTACTTTTTTTGAAATCGTTGAAATAATCGGTATCAATGTATCTTTAACTGTCACGCCATGCAAGTAAAACAAATTTCACGTCACACATAATTGCAGCTACGCTATGAATCTGAATCTAAGCCTTGAAAGGTTTAGTTGCGACACACTCTATATTACACAATTAATATGCTATTGTCAAGAACAATCCTCTACTCTTTCTTTTTCGGACAATAGATTCACTGGCAAAGAAACTTACGATTGATACGTTTGTATTTTTCGTATCTGATGCGCGATTTGTGAAGCTTTACATTTCTATATAAATCGACGAAGTTTCACGCGTACTTTTTGTAAATCCTTTCTTATTCTTCGCGTACACGAATTAAAATTACTTTCTACTTGGTTATTTTTATCATATTTAAATGTCATATCATATGTTATTCCATTTCTGAAAATATCGGTTTTATATTTTAATAAAAAAATAATAATATAATCAAAATAAAAGTAGAAATTTCCGATGTACACATTAAAGAGTTTTTCCCTCCGTAATAATCTTGATCTTTCTCGCTTTCACTTACCTCTTTCAATTGACTATCAAGAATCTTCACTTGGCCCTCGAACGTCTCCTCTCGTTGCGTCGCCTGTTTTTAATCAAGCACAACAAAAAGACAAAACGAGCTTTCGTTAGTTCACCGCAATGCAGGAAATACTGTTTAGTTACTTCTAAAAAAAATGGGGTCAGATAGCAAAACGATAGGGGCACGCGAGTTAATATTTTAGTGGCAAGACCTACGACGCGAGGATGGATCACACGTTAGAAAATGCAAAGCAAGACACTCCCAAAGGATGTGTACCTCCTTTAGACGGGTAGTAAGGGTCTTAATTTGGTTCTTGTATTCCTCCTCGCGCTGGTTGGCCTACGTACAATTACGTAAATATTATTTCTCGTACGTGTATAACGCGATGATTTTCTCCAAAATATATGGATTATAAAATACTTGATCATAAGACTGGTTATAAGATACTTTAGAACGCTTAAAAAAAAAGACTATTATAAAATTAATGCTTAATCCAATTATTGGCACGTATTTTTATCGATATAATTTATGATTTACAATTAAATTGAGCGTTATAAAAACGGTATATCATAATGTACTTTCTATCCATAATATTTTCCAGCATTTTAGACGCAAATTAATTGATAATTAAGAAAATCATTATAATATAAAATGAGAATTAGGGAGGCGATATAATCCACGGAATTAATTTCCATCCCGATTACGTTGTACATGGCGCATGAAATAAATTATTTTACCTTTTCCTCGGAGACCTCGAGAGACTTCAAGTTATTGCCAACGACACGCAATTCTTCTTCAAGTTCGACGATCTTTCTGTAAAGTTAATTAATCGTTAATATCGCAATTTGTGTCATTATAAGAGAAACATATCAAAAATTGCGGACAAACGTTTTCAATATTTTTTACTTTTTAAATGTAATTTTAAATCATTTGAGAAGAAGTAATACGAAGTTATGAAAAGTTATACAAATTATGCAATAAAATTTATCCCCATATAAAAAACATTAACAATTGAGTAACATAACATTAAGTTTCTATCGTAATAGTTTCTATCGTACTAATAAGAAATCTTTCTTTGAATGCACTATAAAAGTTTGTTAATGTAATATAAAAGTCATTATCTTTATATTTTAAAATTACGTATTGAAACGTTCGTCGGTAATTTAAACTTCTGAATGATTATAACGAACAAATGGCAGCAAGTGTTGCACATGGAGGAAAAAGGATTAATAAACACATGCATAAAGCTGGCACTTACGATTCGGAAAGTTCGGCCTTCTCTTCGGCGCGCTCGAGATCCTGTTCCATCAAGACTAGTTTCCTGGCGACCTGTGATCAACAGCCACACGTGTCATGCGCAAAAGCAAAGGTGATGGAAGTGGGCATGAAATAGTAATATCAAAAACAAAACAAAAAAAAAAAGATTAGGTGTTGAACATGCAGAGACGCATAAAAATCCGATGTTTCCTGGCCTCCAAGGTTCCTTTCGGCTGCTAAAAGATTAGTGCGAATGCACTGTGCCACAACGTTAATTACAATTATGGGGATTCGCATCTACGTCCATAGGTAACTTTTTGAGGCAATTATTTAAAAAATCAACTCATTAGATAATATACAATATATCATTTTGGATGTATTTTGACACTATACATCTATTAAAAGATTAATAAGATCGGAAAATTCGACAATGTAATTTTTACTTATTTCCTTCAGACGCAGATGGTGTCGTAGAAAAGCCATTATTACTGTCGACATATTATTTACTAAGCTTCCATGAGGCGGTATTTAATTAGATTAATGTTTCGTAATTCTGGCTTTCCATGACGAAAGAAATCTTACAACTGATACACAGCATTTTTTAAATGGTAAAATACGATCACAAAACATATCGTTATCGTGCAAAACCGGGTACGGGCGTGGTTAAAGAGTATTTCCGCCTTCTTCGTCATTGTCGACGAACATATTGCGGGCTAACGGTGCTGTCAAAAAGTTACGGGAGCGAGCTGAAGCGCATCCAACGGATGCGCGATGGAAAGAAAGGGGGGCGGCTGGGTGAGACGAGAGGAGAGAAATGCCATGGGATCGTTCGCACTTCGGGCAAAAGGTGCCGGACGAAAGATGCCTAATAAAAACGATGCTTACGACTCTCCGGCCTCAGCACGCTCCTCGGCGCGTTCTAGATCGGCCTCAACCATGGCCAATTTACGGGCGACCTGTATAAACGACATACACACGGTTTCTAACATATGTTGTCTTCTATCTCTCCCTCCTCCTCTATTTCCTCGACGATCTCGCCGCCTCTGAAAATTCCGGAGGCGGCGGGAGTCTCGTCGCCCGCCGTTGTCATCTCCGTCATCGCCGTCGTAGCCCCGCGATTGGAAGAATTATTCTTCACGGAAATTCTCCCTCTCTTTACGTGCTCAAAGTCTGCTGACGAGCTCGCGAAATTCGTGCGATGGCATTTGCATTTAACCCGTGTTTATGCAAAGTTATCTCGTTTCACGAAAAAAAAAAAAAAAAAAGGGAATGAGAGCAAACTGCGGTCAAAAGTATTTTTAGTGCCGGTAGATCGAGAAAATTTATATGCATAAATGCAACATTTTACATAATTTAATACATGTCTACTTTGCATTTTAAAGATATCTCCGAATTTGCACTCGAATTAAAACATCGTTAACGGCAGACTAAACTGTTGCATTAACATCAATTTTCTCCGAGCGATCTTGCTGAACGCTCGCAAATGGGTAGCATCTTCCAATCGGCTACGCCGTCGAAAAACAAACGATCAGAGATAGCAGCACGCAAGTCGTGTCACGCAAATTGCAGCTCAGTCCTGACGGACAAGTCCTGATGGACTTGTAAGCGCATGTAAGACAGCAATGTATGGTCACGCTAGGGAAAAAGACCGTCGTAAAGTAGAACTTTTAACGCCTTTTAACTGTGACTGCACTGAGAAAAATGTCTGGTTCTATAAATTGAAATTCTGATGGAAAATGAACGAATTAAGATTTTCTAGTTAAATTAAATCTACTAGAATTCTAGTTGATTGACAATCGAAACTGATTTACATTATATAATCAGAATCTTCTGTGGTTCGTCTTTTTTTTTTTTTTTTTTTTTAATTTCTTTCTCAGTATGGATTTGTGTCAATTATGATCAGATATATCTGTAATTCTGTTCCACGACGATCTTTTATTCATGCAACACAACTTCCGCACAACCGTGGCGCGATCGATCGTAAAGTGGCTTTCTCGTAGAAATTTAATTGAGAAATTCGCGATTTGCGCGGGTTTGATTATCAACTTGCGCTTTCCCTTGTTCGTATCTCTTCATTTTGAAAATTTTCTATTACAATTAGCACAGCACAAACGACCATTTTACACAGAATCGTCCGTTGTGTCTATGCATCTACGTACTATATACGTATTTGACCTCTCATAGTCAGCATAATTCTGCGAATAACTCGATAAAAAGTAACATCCGTGATTCTGAAGCAATGAAAACAAAGATTTTATTCAGCTCGTTGAGAATATGCAAAATGAGCGTCTGGTTGATTTTATAAATTGTATGGTATTTATGAGAAAAATGATGTCGTACAATTTATGATAACTTATAACTGTCTTGACAAACTTTACCAATTTCATAACGTCCCAACCATTTTACGATAAAATTGCGACACGTTTTTGGGAATGAATGAAGTTTGTAAGTCTTATATATGAAAAAAAAAAAAAAAAAAAAAAGATGTTTAACGAAGATCGGCACACTTGGTTGCTGTTAGAATTTGTCGTCATCTCTGTAAGTTTCTGTAACGATTAGGCAGTTAGATCGTTAATTAGAAGATCAAAACAGACGATTGTGTGGAAGCAACACTATCTACTGAAATAAATTGAACGATTTGATTAACATCGCGACAAAATCAATTCTCGCACACTGCGATTAGTTTTTACGCATATTGTTAATTAACGATGATTTAACAGATCGTATAGAACGTCATCGGTGAAGAAAATAAAGTGGTTGAAATTACGGTGAGTTTTTTTACGAAAAGTTTCAATAAAAAATCTCAAAAAATTGTGAATTCTCCAATAATAATTTCCAAGGAAAAGGATTGCGAGGACTTTTTAAAAATTTAAATAATAATAGAATATTAATAAAAATAAATAAAATGTGCTTATTGACAAAAATAAATCAAATTTTTCACAAATTAATTGAAAGTAATTAATGAGTCTGTTTTTTATTCCTGTGTATGTTACTAGAACTCTTTTTCAAATATCAATCTCATTTCAAGTTTCAAAAGTGTACACTAGTTCAGTCACAAAAAGTTTAGATATTTGTATAAAAATGTGTAAAATTATACCGGCAGCTCAACCACAAATAATAATCCGTAATATCGCACGTATCATGCAGAGGACTGAAAAAAGATTTCGAGCGATATCTTATCCTGATGATTGATACTGTAATCTCTGAGCGGACAAATAACAAAGTGTGTGTTGTCACCGTAATTTCAACGTTATCGCGGCAAACACCTACCATCACAACTCTCGTTATTCTGGGGCATCGCATTCTGAATTCCAGCAAAGCAAAACGCGCTCGCCGAAAGACAAGCTTGACAAAAGCAGCACCATTTATAATCATTGACGCGCGGAGAACCGCGATAAAGTCGCGCGGTCTCACGCGGCGTTATCACAAACACAATTGACGATATTCTTATTAAATTTAACAACGAGGCCGGTCTCGCGGGGAAGCGAGCGACAGACCGAGCACCAACCGAGCACCAACCCGAGCACCGCGGCTCAAAACTTTCACGACGACTTTAATACCCGCTGAAGAGATCGAATTATAAACACGCACGCGTACGAACTTCTCTGAACTTGGTCGCGCGGTCGTCTCTAATCTAAGTATCTAATAACAGGAATATTGTATATATAGCAATAACAAGATTAAATTCTATTTATGAAACTGGCACTTGAGACATTTTTTGTCGTAGCTTTTGTCGAAACGGAAACACTTTGAAATCACAGATACCCGATTTTATGTGAGTCGCGCTCGTAAAACACGTGTGAACACTCGTATATATAATCACTTTTTCTCTCTTTCTCTTCCTCCGTTTCTTCCCACGTGACTCCTATATCTCTAAAATTCTCTCTATACTATCTAACGAAGTGAAAAGAACGATCTTTAGAACACTGCACTTGTCGCGAACACGCAATATACTCTCTTCTAAAAGACGAAAAACAAAAAAAAAAAATTTCCACTTTCATTCGGCCCAGATCGCGAACACAGATCGACGATTCACGATTTGCCCTTCTCAAGATTTCACTGCGCGAAGGATTCTCACCTTTCCGCCCTTTTCACGATTAACGGAAACTTTTCGCTTTGCAACGCGAAAAAAAAAAATCGCCTCGTTTTTTTAACGTGACCGAAACAACCTCGATGAACCAACTGATGATTTTAGTGAACGGAATATATACCTCGTGCGAGGCACTTTCTCTTTATTCGCGACGGAGATGTATCGTGAAACACGGTGTTTTCGAGCACACAAAGAGAAGACAGAGAGTTATGGGGTTAGGCACTATTTTAACTATCGACTAGGAACCATCATCGTCATGATTATCATCGTCACTGCATCCAACACGCTTGACAGTGGTAGTCGCGGGCGCGCGAACCTCATCGTATTTCTTGTCGGCTTCTTCGGCGAGGAACCTGGCTTCCTTCAGCTGATTCTCGAGGGCATCCATACGCTCTTCATCCGCCAAGCTGCGATTCTCGAGAATCTTGCGGGCGCTTTAAGGTGGACACATGTCGAACGAAAGAATTTACGGTTAAAATATCGATTAGACAAATGGACTAAGTTAAGAAATAGGTTTCTGATCGTCGAGAAACACCTCTGCTCAGCTCAGCTCACAATGATCCGCCTACCTGTGAAATTTACCTGAAAGATAATCCCAGAGGAGAACTACCAATCGACCTGGACGATCCTTTCTAGCTTCGTACGAGATTATTAATGTATTAAAAATGATATTCCGCTTCTTCAGACATTAATTCGCTATTCCTTCCGTGAAAATGGTTCCAGTAAATGGTAGGTAAATATTTCTTTTTCATTTATAAATTAATGTCATCGCCTTAACGTCCTGAACGGTTGGTAGTTCGTCTCTGACAAAGAAAAATAAAGGGCCCGTTTGCCCTAGTTTTTTTCACTCTTTGTTCGCTGATGACCCACCTCCTCGTATTTCTTATCCGCCTCTTCTGCGATCAGTTTAGCCTGTGCTAGCTGCTGCTCCAACAAGGATACTCGGTCGTCCTCCATGTTAGTACGGTTTTCAAGGGCCTTGCGTATCCTAATGATTGATCGTTCATCGATTTTTAGAAATGAGTTAATCGTCGTTGAAAGAATGATCATATGTCGTATAACAGATCAAGAAATCAGAGAAGTACGGATTTGACAATTTTTCTCCCGTGAAAAAGTACATCGTAGCAAGACACGTGAACGTGTACACGTCATTCGTTATCAACGGCGATAAGCAAGACTAGCATTATTTTAAGCATTTACGTACTGCAGTACAGAAATCATAATCGGTAATTATGATTAAGACTTTCAGTTATGACGAGTTTTAAATTCTCCCAACATCGTATATTATAAATTAGTGATCTTTCAAATAATGCATAACTAGTATAAGAAAGAATGAATATCCAGAAGTGATTTTTAATTGTAAATTAAGTCAGAAAGAGTTTGTGTAAATCGCGTCGCGGCGGATGCGATATATAATCACAAAAAGTAGGTCAGGATGTGGTGTTTCAAAATCCGCAAGATCTTATTTTGATTCTATTTCGCAGACATCTTCGAGTATATGAAAGAAAGAAAATATCATAAATTATCCTTTTCTTTATCTACAGACCTATATTATTTTTAATAAAATAATGTAAAGTAGCAGCAATTCATTAGAATTGTTTACATCATCGTTACTTTGCAGTGATTACAAAACCACACCTATATCTATAACGGACAACGAAATTGGTACAATAATTACGCGAATTTCTGCACTTATCATAACTACATATGTATAACTGGAATATTAAAGAGTTGTCGCGTTTGGGTCTGTATTTGGCACGATATTAGTCATACAAAATTGCAATGCATTGCACTGCATTCTATAATTAAATCGCAGGAAAAGGAATCAAGAAGTTTCTTTCTTGCATATTGATTCTTTCAATGTAAGGCGATACAAGGTCAATGTAAAATAATAAAAAGAAATTATTTTTTTCAAAATATTAAATTCATCCACAATTATTATATAAAACTCTACATTAATATTTATTATATACTACGTTATATATTAAATTATGTATGTAAATAGAATACACACAATAGAAAGCAAGAGTGGCATAAACTATGCAAAGTAACTTTAAAATATCTATTATATATTCGAACATTTTTAAAAATATTTTTAATATCGTAAAAATTTAATTATCAAGGATTTTCATGTTTCATATATATATATGATATAATTACATTAAAAAAACATGTAATAATAATAATAATAATAAAGATTTTACAGCTTTAATTTCATAAAATGAGATAAAAACATTAATTTATATCACTTTTGCACGTATAATAAATTTTCCGATAATTTAGAATTATTTGTATACAATAAATGAAAATAATCGAAAGTAAAATATTATAAATCTCGGCTTTTTCATAAATATATTCTAGCCAACTATCGATCGTTAAATACTAACATCCATCATAGTTGGTAGCTTGACAATAAATATGTTAAAAATTGTATCAATGTCAAGTATCTAATTATACAATATGTATTATCTACATTACTCTTGATCATTTTCAAATAAATGAAAGAAAATATATAACAATGAACAGCTATTTTTTTTACACTTGTACATTCTTATTATATTATAAAGTCATAAAAATGATAAAATAATCATCGGAATATATTTATAATTTTATATTTAATAATTAATTTTGAACATTTATATATTTAGATATTTTTCTATTTCAATATTTTCTATCATATTTTCTACTTTGATAACTGTTCATTGCGGAGAATGTACACAGAATCACTAATAAATTGAAAAATTCGCAATAATTTTGTTGTGTGTATAATAAACACTTACCGTTCACTCTCATCGGCAGCTTGCGATGCCTCCGCCAGTTTGGCAGTGGCAGTGGCAAGACGCTCCTCGGATCTCTCAAGGTCCTCCTCCAACAGTTGAATACGACGATTCAAAGCGGCGACTTCAGATTCGGCCTGTAACATCGAAGAAAATCCATTCCAGGTGAAATAAAAGCAAAAAAATTTGCAATACTTAATCTTACATAGTTTTAGCAGAATCATATTGCTAACTAAAATATGAGATAATAAAGAAATACTGCAATGCAAAGTACATTAATAATTCAAGAAAAATAGAGAAAAACAAAAGATATAATTTATCTAGAAAGAAAAGATCGAAATCTAAGTGTATATATGTTAACAAGCTTTATTAAATTAGAAACAATCGAAAAACATAATCGATTGACGATCTACTAAATGCTATTATTTATATAATTTAGTTATACTTGAATTATTTGATACAACGATACAATCCATTATTGTATATATGAAAAAAATAGTAGCTGTTAAATTTGGAATTGAGGAGGTTTAACGAAATTATGCGAAGTAACGTAAGATCGAACGGCTGATCCGTTGTTATTGTCCTTAGTCTATCGCCACGACGTTGCAATCAGGCGCATGTCGATGCTGGATTAGGAATGATCCGAATCCAATCCAATGCCGTAACATGCAGAGCTTGTCGCAACAAGGCACTAGAATGGAGATCGTAAGGATCTCTGCGTGCATATCAATGACCCCGAGGCAGTCCCGTGTGTTGCATTAAGCGTTGAACGGATCATCATCACCGTTATCGATTTCGACAAACATTTGATCCGCAAATCATGTTGCCTCATCGAATGACGTCAGAGAGTATCACGCGCAATAAACGTTTCTAAATTTCAGATTAGTGATTTACCAGCATGGATTAGTTTTGAACATTATCGATGTAATCGATAACGTTCCTGAAGCAATATCTCAAGCAGTAAATCAGTTACAAATTATGAACAGAATGCTTACTCTTGCAAATGTAATTGAATTTTTTTTTTTTAGCAAAAATTGAATTTTATCATCAGTATAGTTAAATTGCTAATTTTAATGTAATAGATTATTGTTTATTCTTATAAAGAGAAAAAAGGCAAGTATTATTATTAATAAGATGACGTCTTTACGTTTTTAATCATTAAAACCTGTATTAAGAAAAAGAAATTAATATACCTTAATTAATCTTATCTTAGCCTAAATGAGGAATTACTAATTTCGAGTCGTAATTATTTTTAAAAATAATAATTTGTAACTCTATTGATGGAATTGTATGAGGCTAAGCGGAGCGTGCGATTTTTACGAATGTAAATTACTTAACGGTCGATTACACATACATCCGCGTACACAATTCGAGGCCCTTGTCCTCATTAGCTGCACCTGCCTACGATTGTGTGCTTCTAGTAAATGACCATAATTCATCCCGTGACGCAGAGAACGTTTCACAAACGTTACTTTATTAGTGATGCGTGAACTTGGATTTCGGCACACCTATGCCAGTTTTATGGGGGCGATGTCAGTGGACTGACAGCAACGATTGCATAATCACCTACACACATAACCGCGCTACCACATTATTCTATTATCACTAATACTGCTGTCACCGTAATCGCCCATATTTTTATTAACTGTTTCTATTAACAAAAGATAGTGATTATCCGGATTACATCACAATATATATTTGCAGTATCGAGGGAATGTAAAACGGCTCCTAGACGCTCAATATTATTGTACAATGTATAAACATTATTTTATGCAATATTATCGATGCCTCCTTTAAACAATTCAAAATAAAATCTAAAGGCTCAATAAAATCTCCGGTAACATAAAATATTGTACAATAATCAAAAATCGATTAGAGCCGCTTAAAACACGTGTAGTTACAAAATAAAAAAAAAAAAAAATATATATATATATAATCATATATTAAATAAATATAAAATCTATATATATAATATTAAGTTGTCTTTATTTATAAAATTGCTTAATATTGAATTTTGAAATGGCTTCGCGGAAATCGTGTCATGTAACACTGCGTGCATAAAACATTTCTATTTGTTTCACAATCTCGTTTGTTACTGTCAAACTTCCGCAACAAATTAATGCGAGTTTAATGATTGCGAATCGCGTCGCCACGATGATGCGTGCACGCTCAGTGGTGCGTACATGTTACACACGCTTTTACATTACCTTACTGACGCGAACCTTGTATTCGTAGGAAATCGGCACGCCCACTCGCACTTGTGCCGAGTGGACAGGTCGTGTCACATCGACGATATCCACGGCAAGTGTTGGTAAGTGTGCCAAACTTCCGCTTCGTCCGACCCTTTCTCGTAGACTTCCAACACGATTCATTTAATTTCGTCCTGCAGTCCGGCCGACGTCGGCAGCGGTTACAGGGATCGGTGATAATTTAGTAAACTGATTGTGTGTATATTTTCAGGTTGTGGATCGGAATTCATAGGCATTGATATGATTATCAATACAAAGGTGAGATTTTAAAGGGAAATCATTTTGTTCGTAACAAAATAATGGAATTTATTTGATAAATAAATAGAAGAATATCTATAAGGAATATACTGCCCTTTGCGAATATCTTTATTGGAATGTATAGATGTATTATACAAGTTATAGATGTAAAGGA